AACATTTAAAAACTCACCACAGACACTAAGGCATTTTTATTTAAATAAAGGCACTCCAATGGCAATAGATTTAAATCTGAATGTTTGGCTAACTCCCTTCTTAGTTCACCTATCATATCATTGAATATTGGTCTAGTTTCATCAAACTCTGCTATCTCTGTATTAAGTGTGCCGGTCGCGGGGAACGTCTTGAGGACTTCAGCGAGCATCGCAACCCAGAGATCAGAGTCCACCGCTGCAACTTCGATGATCTCCTCCAATTCATTTCTCCACTGAAATTACAATGAATTTTAAAAGTTACAGTATATGAAATGAACGGAGTTGACCTACAACTGCTTTTGACTGAAGGTCACCTTTGGACTTATTACGAAAATCTGGACTGTTCTTCCTACATTATGATAGTTAATACTTATCAAAATTAACTTGAGGGTAAGTTTGTTAAGAGTGTCGGTGGCTCAGTGGTTTAAGCACTTGACTTGTAATCTAAAGGTCTTGGGTTTGATTCCCACTGTACCAATGTGATTTCGATTATTCAAACTTTCATATGTATATAATTTATCCGACGTCCTTACAGTGAAGGAAAACATCGTGAAGCCTGCACATATCGGTGAAGAAAGATATGTGTGAAGACAACCAACCCGCAATGGGCCTAGCGTGGTTGGCTAAGGTCTAGTCACCCTTACTTAGAGTAGGCTCCAAACCCTTTGAGGTGGACATATAGTGAGCTGGTGATGATGATGAGATAAGTCTAAGCACTCAAAGGAGTGTTTTAATGCTTCAATACCCTTATGTTAGGGGTACACACTAACCCCTAATATTAAAAACTTTTGATTATTGTCAAGAACAATATCATATTTCACTTATAAAATTTACAAAAAACATTACTAAGAACTTTAAAAATATCTCCTAATTTTACATGAAATATAAAATTTATATAAGTGTATAAAATTTTTCCACCAAAGTTTATAAATCTAATGAAACTTGACTTTTTTTAGGATTAACACCATAATTTTTGTAATTAAAATGTCAATAGGATTTTTAATATAATTTAACCATTTTCTGCCAATCCCTAACATAGTGTACACTGAAATCCCTGTGTAGAGATGTATATAAGTTGAGACACTTGCCAATTATAAAAAAGTTATTGTGAATTCATATTGGCTTCAAGATACATATTGCTTACCGGAGAAATATTTCCAAATGCTTTAGTAAAATGACTCTTGAGTTTTAATTTTAAAACATTTATTAAACATCTTTATGCGGTCAATAGCTTTATTTTTCATATTTAAAAACATTACAATTAAAACAAATAATGAAACATGTAAAATAGTTAAGAAACTCTCTAATTAAATGTTTTTTTAACTATAAAGTTGCAAAAACATACAAACTGTACACAACTTAACAATAACAAACTCAGGAATAAACATAGGAAAACAAACTTATTTTGCATCCAATGAGATAATAGTATGAATTATTAAAGGCGCTAAGATGATAAAAGATTAAAAACACGACAATTTTGTCATTATTTTGTAAGCAATTTTAATGACAACAAATAAAGTACAAAATAATTTATCCCGCTCTATCCTGTTCAATTAAATTGTCGAAGAAAGAGATATCAAATACAAAACAGTTATGCAAAACCATAGAATATAAGAGAAAAGTTACCTCTTCAACATTTCTGCGCGGGATATGAAAGAAACTTAGCAATAATTTTAGCTTCACTTGTGTTTGCAAATCTGGAAAACAATCTTTAATATTTTTCAACACTTCCGCGTTTAATTGAGAACAAATTGAGCCACTTGTCCACGAATCATTCGATATTCCGAGTTTATTGTGAAGCCACAAGGATGTGTCACTATCCCGAACGTTCGCCATCTTGCAACTGAAGTTGTGACGTTTTATCAATGTGGTTATGCCAATGCGTACATGTGGTGTACAGCCGCATTATATTCTTTGGCGCGCAGTGACTCATAATTGATGTTAATAAATACAGTGAATATGGATTAAATAAATGAAAAATAAGAAATAAATATGGGGAGTACCTACTTCCTCACGTTTTTTTTGTTTTTTCGAATAAAAATTATCTTCATTTGAACTAATAATCCAATCATTTGTCTATGGTTCTAACCGAAACTTTAAGTTTCTTCCATTGTCCACAGATTTATTCAAGTAACTCTTATTCTTTTAAAATTTTCTTAAACATGTTGTGCTCGCAATTTTTATTTGATTGTATAAAAATTGCAGTGTCAAAAATCATAGATTGACAATAAGACAGCAACAATCACAACGCTTGTTTATCGACAAAACTATTTGACCAAACGTTCAATAGAGAAAACAATATTTTACTAATAAATTAAATTTAAACATGGGTGATAATTCAATTTCATCATTATCCTTTAAATTGTATGAAGAACAAGGGAATGACGAAACTACATTGGATCTTTCCAGCCAAGGCTTAGCAATTTTACCAGAAATTGGAAACAAAACGCTATGCGTAAATATCTTATCCAGGATGTAATAATTTGTATCTTTTAAAATAATTGATTAATTTACTGATATATTTTCAGGTGCTTTATCTACAAAATAACAAAATTCAAGATCTACCCGATGATTTCTTTGAAACTCTGCCAAATCTTACCTGGTTCGATATTAGAGATAACAGGCTTAGTAATATTCCAAAATCTATTAAAAATCATCAAAATCTAAGTCATTTACTGTTGCAGAACAATAATTTAACGACATTGCCTAATGAATTAGGGACTGTAATGAGTTTGAAAGTACTTCAAATTAGTGGCAATCCTCTGATATATCCACCGAAAGAGATTATAAATGCTGGCACTGGAAAAACCATGCAATTTCTACGCAAAAAATTCATCGATGAACAAGATTCACAATTGCGTTTAGCGTCTTTTAGCGATGAGAATTCAAGTCTCAATACGAAACTTTTATCAGAAACTGACCTGAAGAGCTATAATTCAGTTTATGAAGAGAATTTGAAAAACCGTCAATATCTCTCAGTATTGTTAAGTGAAAAGGACGTAACCGAGTCAGAAATAGAGTTTTATAGTAAAAATAAAGGGAAATGTCCAAAGTTAGCAACCAGTAGAAAAAAGGTGACGCCATGCCATACTCAAAGTTCAAAATATCTCAAACCTGTGTACGCACGTAGCAAAGAAAAACAGGATGTCAAAATCACGCAAACCTTTTTAAGAGAAATGGCGTTGAAAAAACAAAAAGACTTGATGGCACATAAAGATAAGATCCTGCAGGGCAGAAAGTAAAATATCACTTATATATATTAAGTTTATTTAAAAAGTTAATATCAATCTTTAATGACTATAATATTTTTTCAGAAACGTGGAATTGTTGAAGAACTTTCGTAAAACATATAGAACTAATCAATTGTCTATGGGACGGGGAAATACACATTATAAGCGAACCGCGAACGACTATCCTTACGATACTAATCCAGAATACATGACTCTTTTGACTAGAGACGATATAGAAAAGGATTTACCGGATAAATATAAAAAGAGATTGTGGCGAAGACCCAAACCTACTGTACCACGGAAGAAAAACGGCGACGTACATTTAGCGATGAAGATTAAAAAGTTGTTTGAAACTTTGGAAGCTATAGATTTAAATAAACGGGAAATGACACCGAGGACAGAACAGAAAATAATCTTAAACGAGATCCACAAGGTAATGCATCGCACCTAACCTTACCATGACATTATTATAGACCATAGACTATTTTGTTTTTTTTATTAATAGCCAAAACCTTATCGTTTTGCAATTATTTAATTTTTATAATTATCAACTGCAAATGAAAAATTATATTTAAGTAAATCCATACACTCGAATTCATTTGTCTTTTTTCAGATAACGGAAATAAAACAAAAATTGATGGAGCTGTCTTTGAACAATTCAAAATCAGTAGATGCTGATAAGCTTCCCAACTAGACGATATTCTAAAAACGTAATATATTTATTAAATAAAATAATTAGAAAAACATCAATAATTTTAGTCATAAACAATTCTTCAATAAATTTTAATATGTCAAACGTTTGTGTGATATGTTTCGTCTATAGTTTTTGTTATTTATTTTACTAGTGCTTACTTTATTGCAATAAAAATAATAAAGAATATTAGAAAAACACGCATTTTTGATTGTATATCTTTTATTTATCATACATACATATTCTTGCGTTAGACGTGGAACGGAAATTTACAATATTGGTTATTAAAATAAGAAGCACAAAAAATTAGTTAAAAAAGAGGAATCTGTTTTACTCGTGCGCAGGTTTGCCGATGGACTTATGACGTGCGCGGGAAAAGGTCACTAGTGGGAGGGGGTCATCGGCAAACTGTGCATGGTGAATAGCACATTTTAAATTTTTCCATAATTCTCATATACCATTTTAAGTTTCACATTATGCTACCACTAATACATAGGTTTGAATAAAATTAAAACATGAAATAGTATATCGAATATACATATATGCATATTGACGTTTAAATAAAAACAGTCAGTAACAAGAGATCCGTCGCGACTTATTAATGATTTATAAATTTTATTGCTTTTGAAACAAATAAAAATAAAATTTTGACGTCTCAGAATTTGTAAGCCACGGTTACGAAGTGTTTATATTCCTTCATAAATGTCTACAT